ATGTTGCAAACATCCAGGCTTATTAATATAGGGATGCGGCGTGCTGCGATGGACTCGGAGGTATGGGCTGCAATTCAAACCGCATTCGCGTATCCCCGAGCAGCACCCTCGAACGCTTCTTGTGACGCATTGACGAAGCGACTGGACGGGATCTTCACCACATGCTAAAACAGCGCCGGTTAGGCCTCCACCATCGCCTCCTGGGAGACGCCCGCAGAGGCCGCGGCTTTGGTGGCGATCGCGAGACCTGGGCATGTTACACTTGGTACTGTGTTGAACCTGCTGCAGACGCAAACATAAGCAGAAACACGCACACGAACATTGAACACACGATTGCTCTCACCACTACCGCATGACCTACCCTGCACCCATCCAGGCCGCATGCGACAAGCCGAGAGGACCACCAAGAGGTTGGGGGGGGCGACAGGTGCAGCTTTCGGTTTGCAAGTGGCGTCGGATCGGACTCGCAATCTGTCAACGGACAACCGCGGGGCAATCACGGGACAACCATGCGACAACCACGGGACAACCACACGATAACCACAAGACAACCGCGGGACAGACGCTGGGCCACACCAACACAATGAGACGGCCACCGGCCAACCACACGATAACCACGGGACACCCGCGGAACAGCCACGGACTGACCACGGCACAACCACGGGACCATCAAAGAGCAGCCGCGGGACAGCCGGACAACCACAGAGCAATCGCGGGACAACCGCGGGACGACCACAGCACGGCAACAAGACAAGCCCGGGACAAACGCGGGGCAACAACGAAACAGACACCGGGACAACCGCCGGGGGGCCCACTGCCCGCCCGGCTGAGGGGGGGGGGAATCGTCTTGTGTGAGCATCTTTCAACCGTTCCCTGTCCCCGCTGGCGTGGCGGGGTTCCCACTGGCCAATTTACCCCTCTAGATGGGGATGCAGCGCTTCCCTTCGGGTTCCGAAAGGCATATCCCTAACTGGGTGGGCGGGATGGTGGGGATGAGAAACCATTGCCCGGTGGGTGGGGACTGGTCGAACGATACTAATGATGGCAACCTGCCCTAGCAAGGCAAGGATCTGGCTCGCCCTCTCGTGGCGTCGCCTCGCCGTACGCACGCCACGCACGACAAGAATCGAAACCGAAATCGGCGGGTGGACTCCTACTTCGATCGGAGCCCCCAGCCCGTGACGCACGACATGCGAGCACGGAGGGGGAGGCCGAGGAAGCGAGGGGGATGGACGCACGACAGGAGGAACGACGGAGGCAGCGCGAGCGACAGGAAAGAGCTGTCTGGCAGGGCTTCTGTACTCTTCTGGGCCCTCTCCCTTGCCCCGCAGGGTGCCACGTGCAGCGCCCCCTCTCCCGAGGCCACGATCCATGAACGCCTGTGGATCAGCGCTCCAAGGGTCAAGGTTTAGGTCGGGCGTGTCCCCCTACAGGGGGATTTTCGACGAGAAATGAAAAATACCCCAAAAATACACCAAAAAGATCAAATAATCCCCAAAACATAATCCCCGGACTATGTTTGGACTATCTTTTGACTATCTTTTATTTTTCATCGAAAATCCCCTGTAGGGGGACAGGCCCGACTTAAGTCAAGGTCCCTCATGCCAAACAGCAAGCAATGGATCCGCGCTCCCGGGCTTCGAAGACGGCCGAAGCAAACCGCGCCCTCGTCGAAATGGCACGCCATGTATGCAAAACAACACGGAATGGCCCCAAGACGGCCCAGGATTGCCTCAAGATGGCATACGAGGCGCTCAAGACGACCCGACACAGCGACCAGAGGATCTCAGCATGGCTCGAAGAGGCCAACATCAAAATTTGCCCTGCGGTTATTTCGATGGGTGGCTCCACTGCTCCTGACTTCCTCAAGCGGCCCTGGAGGCCACCGGAGTGCTCCCCAGACCATCCAAGAAAACCGCCAGGACGACCGAGACCGGCCCCAAGAGAGCCCCGCAAGGGCCCAAAATGGCCGCCGGAGAGGCCCAAGACCGCGTGTTGTGATCCCACGGGGAGCTTCACCGAGAGGTGCGAACCAACAGCATGAGGTTGCATGCGGCCCACTCATGCCGGCACTCCTCTTGCACGTTTTGTGGTCAAATCGACGGCGCCATCAAGGTGGTATTGCGTGTGGGTCCCAACCCATACCGGCAAGCCCCTCGCGCTTTTCGTGGCCCCACATGGGGTTCCACCCCAAGGTCCCCAACACATCGTTCTCCATGCGGTTCCCCACCCATCTCGGCGTACCCCTCGCACGTTTCGCGGCCCCGCGGGGGCCCCACTAAAGGTTCCCGAAACGAGGTATTGCATGCGGTTCCCCCGCCGATCTCGGCGTACCCCGAAGGCGGCTCGACGGCCCAAGGCGGCCGCACGACGGGCGCAAGAGACTTCCCAAAACGGCCACGACGGCCCCAAATGCTGCCCAGAGAAAACTCCGACGCGGCCCTGAAGGGCCCCACGGCGACCCAAAAGGGGCCAAAGGGACTTCCAGCACTGCCCTGCAGGAGCCCAAGACAAGACGGACGAAAAGAAGGAAAACGACGACGACGAACACAGAACCGCCGACACGACGCAGAACACGAAGTGTCACACGCGACGGCCTCCCGTGCACCCCCGAAGAGTCGCCACCTAGCATGTTGGGCTGGCATGATGGCGGACCTTGCCGCTGACAGCTGGATCTGCTTCCTGAAAAAACGGCCCACAAACAGCATCTCCAACTGTTGGAGTTGTTCCCCATATCCTAAGATGGGGTTCTTGTTATTACTTGGACGCCTCCTACTTCTCCTTCCTCTTCTTCTCCTCCTCCTCCTCCTCCTCCCCCTCCTCATTCTTAGACTTACTCATACACAGACTTACCCATACGCAGACGTACGCATAATCAGACCTGATCATATTAACTTACTCATACTCAGACCTACTCATACTCAGACTTACTCATGCTGAGACTCACTCATACCCAGACTTATTCATACCCAGACCTTATCATTGACTCAACATACAGCAGATTCTGAGGATGTCTCGGGCGGGGCGCTGGTTTCAGCACCCCTAAGGGGAGCCGCCAAGGGGTATGACACGGTCCCGTTCGCAGCCATTTTGTGGAAATATCTCAAGCGGTTTGCCTGTTTCCTGTCCCAACATCCTTCGCTTGAAAAGCAGATTGTGAGGACGTCTTAGGCGGGGCGCTGGATTCAGCACCCCTAAGGGGAGCCGCCGAAGGGTGTGACACGGTACCGTTCGCGGCCGTTTTGTGGGGATGTCTCAAGCGGTTTGCCTGTTTTCTGTCCCACCATCCTGCGCTTGGAGAGCAGATTGTGAGGATGTCTCAGGCGGGGCGCTGGTTTCAGCACCCCTACGAGGAGCCGCCAAGGGGTATGACACGGTCCCGTTCGCGGCCATTTTGTGGAAATGTCTCAAGCGATTTGCCTGATTTCTGTCCCACCATCCTTCGCTCGAAGAGCAGATTGTGAGGACGTCTTAGGCGGGGCGCTGGTTTCGGCACCCCTAAGGGGAGCCGCCAAGGGGTGTGACACGGTCCCGTTCGCGGCCATTTTGTGGAAATGTCTCAAGCGGTTTGCCTGTTTTCTGTCCCAACATCCTTCGCTTGAAAAGCAGATTGTGAGGATGTCTCAGGCGGGGCGCTGGTTTCAGCACCCTAAGGGGAGCCGCCGAAGGGTGTGACACGGTCCCGTTCGCGGCCGTTTTGTGGGGATGTCTCAAGCGGTTTGCCTGTGTTCTGTCTCAACATCCTTCGCTTGGAGAACAGACTGTGAGGATGTCTCAGGTGGGGCGCTGGTTTCAGCTACCTAAGGGGAGCCGCCAAGGGTGCTTGTACGGCTAGACATGTTCACCATACCACTGCCCTACAATATGAGATGCACATATGGCTCATATGGCTAGACGCTCATTTAAATATCCCAAATGCAATATTACCTTTTAAAGAGGATTCACATACGGGGAGCTCCACGCAGTGAGTAATTCTTTGTGGACAGTTGTTTGTTGACATGTTGGAGTCCAACATTTCCAAACAATCCCAACGCAACCCGACAAACCCCGGGATGGGCCTCAATAGACACCACATGCGTCCAACGTGCTGCTAGGGACGCCAGGGGAAGGACCATAGCAACATTTCAATAATAACATCGAACCTTTCCTGCAAAGTGGGGCTGCACGAATCTTCGCGCTTTCAATTCAATGCGACTCCGTGTCGGCGCGAGTGGCTTGTCAGAAGGTTCGCAAAGCCCGCGGATTCCCCCCAACAGCCCCTGAGGCCCCAGAGTGACTCCGAGTCGGTCCCAGGACGACCCCATGACGGCCCAAAAACATCCACAACATATTCCGAATGCGTCCCCCCGCGCGGGCCCGAAATGGCCCCCACGAGTCCAAGATGGTGCCTCGTCCCCCCCCCTCCCCCTTTTCCTCCTCGCCCTTCGTCCTTTCCCGCCTGCGGGCGTGTGCGGCTCTCCCCGTCGCCCAAGCGCAACGAGGATCGAGCGCCGGCAAACGCTTCCGCCGCCCGTCGGATGGGGCGGCTTCCCTGGGGGCGGCCGGCTGTCTCAGGCAGCTGCCGCTCCCACGGGGGAGGGGTCAGCGGAAAAGGGGCCTATACAGTCGATCCGTGCCAGAAGGAGGCGCGGTTGGGGTGCAAGGGCCTTGGAGCCATGTTAACGTCTTTTCGAACGAGGCCGGCCATCGAAAGTCAGTCGCCAAGGATGGGCCGAGAGGGGCGAGGCTGCCAACCCTCGGCAAGGTCGCCCAATCCTAACTGCGCGGGTTGACGGTCTGAGCTCTCCGTCTCGGCTCCCCGGCCACCCGTCGCCTTCCAAACCGGCTGCCCAGCCGGGGCGCCGCCGAGCCCAGCCCGCTCTTCGTGCGCCACCGCTCAGACGCCCATTCCGCGGGCGTTTGTCGTTTTCGTTCGCTGCGTTTTTGCAGGATGATCCAGGGTGTTTCTCGAGGGCCCTCGCCGAGAAAAAAACGCACGCGTGACCTCCACGTTCGTTACCACCCCTTCCGCCTCTGCCCCGTCGACGACAGGGACAAGCTATCGTCACCTCCCCTGTCGTCTCTGCCCCCCCCCGTCGTCCGATCCGGCCTTCCCCACGAACGACCCACGGCGCCCGAAGTGCCACGTGTGCGGAGGAAAACGCTGGGCGGCGGAACCGCAACCGGCTGCCTGCAGCCGATGTGGTCACTTCCCCTTCCGTCCCTGCCCCCCCCCCCCCCCCTTTTTCGTCCGATCCGACCTTCCCAGCAACCCCGACCGACGCCCTCCTTCCAGCTCGCTCTCTCGCCTGCTCGCGCAAGGCCCAGGGGGGGGGGGCGAAGCCCGTCGTGACGGAGCTCGCCCCCTCGTTGAGGTGCCCGCCCTGCGGGAGCAAAACGATATCGATTCCTGGGACCGACCTTCACCGTGCTTTTCTTGTTTGCCACATCGTCCCTGGACCGCCCCCCTTGGACCTCTATGACTATGACTAAGACTTCGGGGCGAATCCAACCCGGTCGGAAGGCGCAAACTATGCACCTACATACTTCCTTGGCCAGGCCGGCCTCCGGGCCTGGGATCGGTGCGCACGCAGCCCTGGCTCGGCTGGGAGGGCAAACGCGCCGATGCCCGAGCTAGCATGGTCCATGCCAGGAGCGGGGCAGGTGTGCGCAGTGGACGCGTTTTCCCTTCCCCTCCCCCCCCTGTCCGCTCTCCCCCCCTCTGCGCGCCGCGATGCGCCTGGGCCGCTGCCCGCAGCCACCACGCGTTCAGGATTCTGGGCCTGGTCCTGCCGCCCGCTCCCCACGCTGGCCCAGCATGTTGTTGGAGGCATTCCATCAGGATGCAGCCTCACTTTCCACACCCTCCGCTCCCCCACCTGGGCGGCGCGCGGCCCGCCATCCTGGCACTTCGTGCGCTTCGTCGGCTACGCGCTGTCTTGACTTGCAGTTCCCGCACTGGGCCCCGCCTCAGCAAGTACACCAGCGCAGCTACCGCCTCAGTCCCCGCCGGCGGGGCTGGCCGCGCCAACGCACCCAAGGACGTGATCCGTCCACCCCTGAGTGCCCGTGGCCTCACCTCCCACTTTCTGCGGCCGCCTGCTCTGTCCCATTCTCCCGCTCTTGCCTGTTTGCCAATTCGCTACAACGGTGCCCCTGTTTGGTTAGCTCCTTCCGCCCGCGCAGACGACCCCTGCCTCCGCCGACGCGAAACGTGCGCACAATTGACGCCCCCCGAGCCGTGGCGGCGAACGGCGGGTACCCGAATATGCCCCCCCGTGGTTCCCAGCCAGCCGGCCGACGGCCCAACGCTCGCTCACGGAGACACCAGGAGAAACATAGAGGCCCTCGAACAAACATTGAGCAGGGACCGACCGTCCCGGCGTTCCTATAGGCCTACCACGACATGTTCTTCGAACCCAAACATGTTCGTATACCAATAACAATGTTCTTAGAACGTTAGCCCGATGTGTTAAAACGAGACTGTCTCAACCATAACTGTTCTAAGAACATGTCGTGCAAACCACAAAAGGTCATTCAAACATTTTTTGGTGGGCCTCTCGGCGAGAGAGGAGGAGGAGGAGGAGGAGGAGGAGGAGGAGGAGGGGGTGGAGGAGGAGGAGGAGGAGGAGGAGGAGGAAGAGGAGGCGGAGGAAGAGGAGGAGGAGGAAGAGGAGGAAGAGGAGGAGGAGGAGGAGGAGGAGGAGGAAAAGGAGGAGGAGGAGGAGGAAAAGGAGGAGGAGGAAAAGGAACAGGACGCTTCGCTCGCTGCTCGAGACACCCGCCATCGGACAAACACTGGCGACCACATCTTGCCCGCGTGGTGCAGAAAAGAATGCCACAGACAGGGACGGGGGGCGCAGGCGGAGGCCCAGGAGGAGGGGGGGGCGGAGAGGAGGGGGAGGAGGGAGCAGGAGGAGGAGGAGGAGGAGGAGGAGGAGGAGAGTTAGGAGCGAGGAGGAGGACGTCGACGACGACGAGGAGGACGAGGAGGGGGAGGAGGAGGAGGGAGGAGGAGGAGAGGGAGGGAGGGAGAGAAGGAGGGAGGGCGGGAGGGAGGGGCTCTTCTGGCCACGGCGAGCCGCGGCCACGAACAGGTTCCCCGACCCGGATCCAACGAACGGCCCCCAAAACCGGAGACCCTAATTTCAGGTCGGGCATGTCCCCCTACAGGCCGATTTTAGACGAACCAATACCCCCGAAATGCTCAACAGATGTTCAGACGTGCTTTAGAAAGAATCCCAATACTTTTTGTGCGGTGTTCTGAATTTTCCTCCTGTAGATGGACAGGCCGACTTAACCCTAATTCCTGATGAGCCCCACAGCGGTCCTCACCTCAACGCCTCCATTGTGTGGGGAAAGAAAAAAGCAACGCCACAACCATAAACTTTGGGGCGCTCCGCCGCGGATCTCTTGGATCTGCGCTGGACCCCCCTCCCTGGCGCGCGGAGGGCGCCAGGCGCGGCGCCGAAGGCGCCGCTGGGGAGTTCCAGCGCAGATCCAAGAAACCCGCGCGGAGCGCCAAAAGGGTATGGCGTTCTTTTCGTCGACCGACTGCAACCGAATTGATATTATTCGCCCCCGATCCGTGTCAAAAAGTGCCGAACACACTGCCGCGCGGGCAACGCAAAGCAACGGGCCTCACGAGAGGTGACACACACACACAACACACACACACAACACACACACACACAATACACACACAACACACACACACCACACACACAACACACACAACACACACACACACAACACACACACACGCACACACACACACAGCGACCTTGCCGGGTGGCTCACGCCGGCCGCCAGCGCGGCGCACGAGACACTGGAGACGAAGGCGCTCAGACTACGCGGGCAGATGACGCGCGAATGTCCACGCAGACGACTCAGTTTTTTTTCCGTCGCTGACCCTTCGTGTCCACCTTTGCTCAATAGTGTCCGCGCAAACGACTGTCTTTTCCGTCGCTGACCCAAGTGTCCACCCTTCCACCTTTGCCCCATACCTGCATGGCATGAAGCTAGCCACCTGAGAACAGATCCCCAAGGCACCAGCACATGTTCGCAAGGCGCCTCGATGGGGCCAGCCAGAAGTTCCATGGCGTCCTATGCTGATCTGTGGGTCTGGGGCATCTGGTATCTGCCCATCGACATACCGTCCAGATGAGCAAACGTGGAAATGGAGGAGCAATGTGCGCTTCGGAAGTGGCAATTGTGCCTGCGATATGGCTTGTGTGCAACGACATGCGAGAGTAGACGGCCAACCCACACGGTCCAAGTCAAGCCCACGGATTCATCCCCCCACAACAATCGCCTTTTCTGGTGGCCCTGGCGACGCATCTTGGCCTGCCTCATTGCCATGCCCACTTCCCCTGCCTCTGAAGCTTTGCGAAGCTCGGAGGCTGCCTCGCGGACGACAGAACATGCAACCGAAGGCCAATAGGAACGAGCAACACACATCATAGAACCCACACGTGCGTCAGTCCTCCAGCTCCGCCGACCGCCTCGAGGACATCAAGCTTGCGGGTCCCACAGAAGCGCGGCGGCAGACCGTGCGTTGACCTCGAAATCCCCAGAGAGACCGCAGGCCTTTGGACCCTGGGAGCCCAAATCGCCCGAGACGCCTTCGGAGAACCGACGAAGTCCCGAAGCCGTGTGGCCTCTCAGGCTGCATGGCTCCTGGGCCGCTGCTGGGGCCTCCGGCGGCCTCGCGGCAAGATCTGAGGCACCCCCTCGGGAATGCTCTCGGCGGGGCGCAGCTGCTAGAACGCATCCTGGGGTTGGAAAACCACCAGGCGCCGACAAAAACGTCCGAAAGGTCCGAAGCCCCACCGACCCACCTCCGCACCGTCTGGGCCTCGCCGGCAGGCGTGTGGGGATCCGCCGCCGCGCTCCGCCGCGGCCAGTGTGCCTCAGGCCCCACTCAGTTCAGACTCTTCTCAGGCAAGCTGCGAGACACACGCCTGGAGCGTAAGTGCTTAGTTCAGGCTCCTCCTCCTCCTCCTCTTCCTCCTCTTCCTCGCAGGGTCCGTAAACGTTGGGAAATCGGGGGCTGCAGGAAAAGGGGGTCCCTTACGGCCCCTTGAGGGGCCTCTTGGGCCCCCAAACCCACGCTGATTGCTGCTGCGTGACTGGCCGCCCGATCAGTCTCTTGCGACCCTTGCGCCAGCCCCGCGAGGAGCAGGGCAGACGGGCTCCGCTGGCCCTGAAGGCTATCTTGAGACGACCTTAAATCAATCTTGGAAGCCCTCGGGGGTCGTCGCCGCCCGCCGAAGCCCGAGAAGGCGAGAACGCGACAACCGTTGGCGAGAATCGATGAATTTGGCCTCTTCAGCCCTTCCTGAAGAGCCTCTTGGAGGCCTTTTGCACGCGCGTTGCGCACGACCCGATCCGTGAAACTGCGACTCCATTTTTTAATCTATATATATATATATATATATATATATATATATTCTCATACGCACCTCTCCGAGGGAGTAGAGCTCAGAGGCGACTAATGCGCACGCGTCCGCGATTTTTCTGGGCGTTTCGCTAGGGACATCCTCGAAATTCTGAAAATCGGTGGCACCCCTCACGCAGATCGTGACGTCAGGGTCCAACAACACATGTGAATTTCAACATTTAAACATAAAACCTTCAAAAACACATGGTAATTTCAATAATTGTGACCCCGATTCTCAGGGAATGGCGGTTTCGCTTGAAAAATCCTTCCAAAATCGAACCCCAGACCCCGCCTCGGAGCCTCCTGGGGGCCTCCTGGAACCTCCTGGGGCCTCCTGGGGCTTTCTGAACCTTCTGGCACCCCAGACCCCGCCTCGGAGCCTCCTGGGGGTCTCCTGAAACCTCCTGGGGCCTCCTGGGGCCTCCTGCGGCCTCCTGGAGCCTCTTGGGGCCTCCTGAAGCCTCCTGGGGTCTCCTGGGGCCTCCTGAGGCCGCCTGGGGCTTCCTGGGGCCTCCTGGGGCTTCAGAACTACATGCACACAGAGACACAAATCACGCCCAACACATCACACGCTAGACAAACATAACACACACACACAACACCTACACCACACAAAAAGCACGCACCACACAAAGCATACACCACACACACACACACACACACACACACACACACACACACACACACACACACACACACACACACACACACACACACACACACACGCACAACACTCACAATCCTGGGGCCTCCTGGAGCCTCTTCTGGTATCCAAGTCGGGCCTCCTGAGGCTTCCTGGGGGGTCCTGGTACACACATCGCAAGGTGTGGCAACCCCACTTGCGCTCGAGTGCGACTTCGAGGTTGCATTTCACTCCTGCTTCAAACGCCCCTTCAGTTTTTTGTATGAGCCTGGGCACACACGTGCCACTTGTGTATATTAATATTTATTTATTTATATATATGTATGTGTAAAATCTTTGTTTCCAACCATCCTGTGGTGTTGGGTCCTCGTTTTGAAGAGACATCGCCCCGCGTTCTCCTCTCCTCTCCTCTCCTCTCCTCTCCTCTCCTCTCCTCTCCTCTCCTCCTCCCCCTCCTCCCTCCTCCCTCCTCCATTTCGGCACACCCCTCACACGTTTCGTGGCCCCATAGGGAGCTCCGCCGAAGGCCCCAGTGCTGCCGCCCGCATGCGTCACGCACACCCAATTCGGCACACCCCTCACACGTTCGTGGCCCCATAGGGAGCTCCGCCGAAGGCCCCCCGCATGCGTCCCGCAGGGAGCTCCGAAGGCCGCTGCCGCCCGCATGCGTCACGCACACCAATTCGGCACACCCCTCACACGTTTCGTGGCCCCATAGGCCCGCATGCGTCACGCACACCCAAACTCCGCCCCCCAGCATGCGTCACGCACACCCAATTCGGCACACCCCTCACACGTTTCGTGGCCCCATAGGGAGCTCCGCCGAAGGCCCCAGTGCTGCCGCCCGCATGCGTCACGCACACCCAATTCGGCACACCCCTCACACGCTTCGTGGCCCCATAGGGAGCTCCGCCGAAGGCCCCAGTGCTGCCGCCCGCATGCGTCCCGCACACCCAATTCGGCACACCCCTCACACGTTTCGTGGCCCAATAGGGAGCTCCGCCGAAGGCCCCAGTGCTGCCGCCCGCATGCGTCCCGCACACCCAATTCGGCACACCCCTCACACGTTTCGTGGCCCCATAGGGAGCTCCGCCGAAGGCCCCAGTGCTGCCGCCTGTATGCGTCACGCACACCCATTCCGGCACACCCCTCACACGTTTCGTGGCCCCATAGGGAGCTCCGCCGAAGGCTGCAGTGCTGCCGCCCGGCACACCCCTCACACGTTTCGTGGCCCCATAGGGAGCTCCGCCGAAGGCCCCAGTGCTGCCGCCCGCATGCGTCACGCACACACATTTCGGCACACCCCTCACACGTTTCGTGGCCCCATAGGGAGCTCCGCCGAAGGCCCAGTGCTGCCGCCCGCATGCGTCACGCACACCCATTTCGGCACACCCCTCACACGTTTCGTGGCCCCATAGGGAGCTCCACCGAGGCCCCAGTGCTGCCGCCGCATGCGTCCCGCACACCCAATTCGGCACACCCCTCACACGTTTCGTGGCCCCATAGGGAGCTCCACCGAAGGCCCCAGTGCTGCCGCCCCCCCGCATGGCGACACCCCAGTGCTGCCGCCCGCATGCGTCACGCACACCCAATTCGGCACACCCCTCACACGTTTCGTGGCCCCATAGGGAGCTCCACCGAAGGCCCCAGTGCTGCCGCCCGCATGCGTCCCGCACACCCAATTCGGCACACCCCTCACACGTGCGTGGCGCCATAGTGAGCTCCTCCGACGGCCCCAGTGCTGCCGCCCGCATGCGTCCCGCACACCCAATTCGGCACACCCCTCACACGCTTCGTGGCCCCATAGGGAGCTCCACCGAAGGCCCCAGTGCTGCCGCCCGCATGCGTCCCGCACACCCAATTCGGCACACCCCTCACACGCTTCGTGGCCCCATAGGGAGCTCCACCGAAGGCCCCAGTGCTGCCGCCCGCATGCGTCCCGCACACCCAATTCGGCACACTCCTCAAACGCTTTGTGGCCCCATAGGGAGTTCCGCCGAAGGCCCCAGTGCTGCCGCCCGCATGCGTCACGCACACCCATTTCGGCACACCCCTCACACGTTTCGTGGCCCCATAGGGAGCTCCACCGAAGGCTCATGTTGCGGCGCTCACGTGCGCATGCGTCCCGCACATCCAATTCGGCACATCCCTCACAGGTGTCGTGGCCCCATCATCCATTGGAGGCCCCAGTGGCGGCGCTCACATGCGTCACCCACACCCACCCAATTCGGTACACCCCTCACACGCTTCGTGGCCCCATAAGGAACCCCACCAAAGGCCCCAGCGGCCGCGCTCACATGCGTCCCCGCCACCCATCCCGGCACGCCCCTCACAACAACAGGCTTCGTGGCCCCATAGGGAACTCCACCGAAGGCCCCAGTGGCACCGCCCGCATGCGTCACCACCCGCAACCAATTCGGCACACCCCTCACACGTTTCGTGGCCCCATAGGGAGCTGCACCGAAGGCCCCAGTGGCGGCGCTCACATGCGTCCCCGCCAAACATCCCAGTACACCCCTCACACGTTTCGTGGCCCAATAGGGAGTTCCACCGAAGGCCCCAGTGGCGCTTACATGCGTTTCCGCCACCCATCCCGGCCCCCCCCCCGCAGCAGCATCATGTTTCGGGGACCCATAGGGAGCTCCACTGGAGGCCCCATCGGCGGCCCTCACATGCGTTTCCGCCACCCATGTCGGCACGCCCCGCGCGTGCTTCATGTCCCCATAAAGAGCTTCACCGAATACCCCAGTGGCACCCATCTCGGCACACCCCTCACACGCTCCGTGGTCCTATGGGGAGTTCCACTGAAGATGAAACCCGCAGCTGCGGTACTGACAACTGCATATGGTTGGGTGGTTCGCAAGGCTAATTGAAACAAAAAAGACGCGCGCGCAACACACCTTCGGTTACCCTGTCGACACGCCACGATAATTACTCCGACGGTAAGACCCCGCATGCGAATCTTTTTAGCTTACCCTTAACCCTTCCCCCGTCGCCCTAGCGGACACCCTCCTCTCGCCCTGAGCTCGGCTCTCCTCCTCCTCCTCCTCCTCCTCCTCCTCTTCCTCCCCGTCGTCCTCCTCCCCCTCCCCCTCCTCCTCCTTCTCCTCCTCCTCCTCCTCCTCCTCCTCCTCCTCCTCCTCCTCCTCCTTCTCTCAATCCTTCCCCCCCTCCTCCTCCTCCTTCTTCTCCGCCTCATCATCGCCCCCTCTCTACCCCTTCCCCCCTCCTCATCTTCCTGCCGCTTCTCTATGTGCACCTCCCCTGCTCCATTGGTCGGGGCAAGCATGTCGATTTTCCCTGGCGCCGTCGCCGCCTCGGCCAACGCGCGCGCGTTCGCCGACGGCTAGATCGCGAAGCCTTCGGGGCAACCCCGTGGGTCGCCGGGGCGCGAAGCCAGGCCGCCGGGACAACCCCGCGAGCCAGACCGTTTGGGCAGCCCCGCGGGCCTCCATCTGCGCGCCGCGGCGCTCAGGCGGGAGGCAGCGCGAAGCCAAGCTCCGCGGCGAGCTGCTCGGCCTCATCCCTGGAAGTCTTCGTTTTCTCATAGAACTTCCTGAGCGCTTCCCGCGAGGACACCAGCGGCCCGCGCTCCAGAAACTCGCGCAAGGGCGGCCGCAGGATCAGCGCGTTCCGCATGAGCGCGGCGCGGGAGAACGTGGCGTAGACGTGCGGCCGCCGCTCCTCGTCCGACGGCCAGCGTCCTCGTCCCTCGCGCAGTCGATGGCGACGCCCTTGTGCAGCGTCTGGCCCTGCGACAGCGTGGAGGTCAAGTGGGGCGCGTACGTCAGGGTGAACCCCGCGCGGCGCGCAGTGTGCGCCCCCGAGCTCTGCCACGTGAAGTCCTGCTCGCTGGGCCTGAACATGAGCAAGCTCCTCGCCCGCCCCTCGGCCTCGCCGTCGTCGTCGGTTCCATCGGCGCCCTGTCGCAGCAGCTCGGCGACTCTTTGAAGCCGTGGACCTGCAGCCAGATTCCCTGCGGTTGGTAGCGGGGGTGAGAGAGCTGGCCTGGCGCGCACTCCTCGTAGTCGCGCTCGTCGTCTGCGTGAAACCCGAAGGGTGCGCGGCCGTGAACCGAACCTCCATGCCGAGGTGTGCCGGTAAGACGCCATGGATGTCCCCCGTCTTGTGAATGTTCGGGGCGTTCAGGAGGCGCCGGCCCGTCTGGGTCGTCTTGAATCGTGCCGCACTCGTCCATGGCCTGCGTCCGGGCCGGGGCGCATGGGCAAACCTTTGCGTCCCGGCCCGGACGCAAGGGCTTCCCCTTGCGCCCAACCACCGCTTCCGCCGAGGATGGGTTACCAACCCCGGCCCGGACGCAAGGGTTTCCCCCCTGCGCCCGGCCGCCGTCGTTTTCCTCAACTCCTGTTCCTCTTCTTCTTCCTCGTATGATGGGTCGAGCGAAACGTTCTCAGAAGAGCACAAAACTGACCCCGCTCAGATTCGCCCGCGAAGGCTCGCATCCCCATTCATTCCCGAGGAACCCAACAGTAACGACAGCTACGAGAACCCAGAGAATGCTCTACAACTTGCTCCCGAAAGAGCCCAAAGAGAATCCAACTCAAACTGTCACGACAGCGGCGCGTCCACCTCGAAACTTCCACGTTTCCGATGGCCCGCTCAGATTAGCAACGTGAAATGCGGAACCCATAGGCAGAAGGCTCTCGCCTGAGACTTCCTCGCACGTCACTCACAGACGAGGCTCCCGCCTGAGACTTCCTCGATATTCAGGCCCCAGGGGCCCGAAAATGACGACAATTAGAAGTTTTCGGATGGCCCCCCTCGGATTACCAACGTGAAGCGAGGGCCTCATAGGGAGGGCCTCCCGCCGCAGACGTCCCCGCAATGCATTCACAGACGAAGCTCCCGCTTGATACTTCCTCCAGATTCACGCCTCAGGAGCCCCGAAGTGACGACAGTTACACGTTCTGGATGACTGGCCTCGGATTCGAGCATGAAGTGCGGGCCCCATGGGGCGGGGCTTCCGCCTCAGACTTCTTCGCAATTCACTCGCAAATGATACTTCTTCCAGATTCACGCCTCAGAAGCCCAAAAGTGACGGCAATTACACGTTTCGGATGACCCGCCTCGGATTCGAATATGAAGCGCGGGCCTTATAGGGAGGGGCTTCCCGCCTGAGACTTCCTCGCAATTCACTCACAGACGAGGCTCCCGCTTGATACTTCCTCCAGATTCAAGCCTCAGGAGCCCAAAAATGATGAGAGTTACTGGGTTTGGATGACCCGCTCGGATTCGTAACATGATCTGCGGGCCCAATATGGAGGGGTCTCCCGCCTGCGACTTCCGCGCAATGATGGTGGTGATGATCAGGAGGATGATGATGAGTGATGATGATTGATGATGATGACGGCGAGAGAGAGAGAGAGAGAGAGAGAGAGAGAGAGAGGATGAGAGATAGAGAGAGGGGGTGTGGGAGGACTGCGCGGGTTGTCCAGAGAAAACAAAAACCCCACTTAGAATGTGGGGGATAATCAACTTAGCGCCACCCACTAACACCCTCGCTGATTTAGACCAACCGGCCGCGAAGTAAAAACTCGTGGGGGAAAGAAGGAGGACAACACTTCCAAAGGTCTCTCACGCCCAACCTCCTGCTACCGACACCAATGTTACACATGCTGTTGCTTCCCTGGTTTTGGCCATGCGTGCTATCTGCACGGGCAGGATATGCGCTGCGTTGTCGTCCATGTCATACTCGGTGAATGCAATCGCTTTATCAAAACGGTGCCACTGCCATGCGAGGCCATGTGCTGCTGACACAGGCAGCTGCGCCCTTTACTCACGCAAATGGCAAAACTGTAGCAAATATGCTTCCCGTCTGCTCTAAGCAGAGCCGCCGATAATACACTTGCGATGCACACCACACTCATTACGCAACCTTCACAACCGCGTATCTGTCTTTGAGCGGCGCCCACTGGATCAACTAGCATGTGGCTCGAAATGGCAATCGTTCCGAACAAGACTCGAAAATGCAAACCGTGAGGTGACGAGTATGAACTCCAACGACATGCAATAACGAGCGACGAGGGAGAGGTAGCACATGCAACATACAAATGTGATGTGAACCATCAATTGATGACTTTGCTACGGAAGCTGGTCATTTTAAATATGTGGCTTATGAGTTGTGTGACATGCGCTTCTCTTGTTCAGATGATCAACGACAGGTGCAACAAACATACCAGACGGGCCTCCGAGAGCTCAGCGATCGCTGCCTCTCGAATTTGCCTCCTCTGAGCTTCAGCTGCCTCTTCTGCCTTTCTTTGTTCTTCTTCCATCAGCTTCTTGGCATCCTCGGGTATTCAGGCTAGTCGCCATGCCCAAGAACTCAGGCACCACGCTCGTTGAACGATGGAAGCATCCACTTGCGACGGAATGTTGTTATCTTCCCCATGGGGTAGAAATACACATCATGGAGACAACCTTCGGAGCTATCCATCGGCAACTTGTGGTCATATGTCCACGAACCGTGGAAACACTATAACTAATACGTATTGATTGGTCACCACCGGTTCTGTGCGTGAGCGCGGGCGTATGCCATGTCCACCGAGTGCGGGTCAACCGCTGGTATTCAGGCGAGCGCAAATCATGACAATCCAAAACCAGGCCTGAAGGAAAAATATATATATATATGCTTTGTTCACCTGCCGCTGAATCCAAATACCCAACAAACGTCGCCTCGACTGCCGCCACCTGCTTTTCCGCTTCCATCCCTCCCCCTTTCCCTTCCGCCTCCATCCATGCCATTCCTCTCCTGCGTGTCCTCCATTCCTCCCTTCCTGCCTCGCCTCCAGTCTCCCCGCTGCGTCCCGCCATTTCCATATCACCCTCTTTCTGGCTCTCTTGGCCAGACCGCGAAGCGGGGAGTTGTCCATGACCATCGCCTAGGTGATCGATGCTTACGGGACCCAGGGGGCGGTGGATATGTGTACGTTTGGGCTCAAGGGGTCCACATCCACCGCCTGCCGAGGTCCGTTTCGACGGCAACTTATGGGAGCCTCCCGCACCATCTTGTTGGCTCTTGCGAATCGACGCTGATCAAAGCTAACCGACACTAATCGACGCAACATCGACGCTGATCGACGCTCGTCGACGCTGCATCGGCGCTCTCTCACTGATTACCAGACGCTACCCGACACTAATGCACTCTAAAAGCGGAATCACGAGGGTATACAGGGCTCCAGGCGTTAGTCATGGATAAATTCCGCCTCAAGCAAGCTGACTCCCCCCCCGACCCTCGTGGTCTGGCTTCGGGGCCTTAGCCCAGCTCCCTCCCTGGCGGCCGCTCGGGACGATCCGGGCACCACCCCACCTCTCTCGGCGAGGCGCAACTGCTCGAACACATCTCGAGGCTGGCAAACCGCTGAGAACCCACGCAAACACACAACACCGAGACCTCCAACGCCGTGATTGCTACGAAGTGTGGGCCCTGGGAAGTCTGGACATGCTTTCCCCAGGAGCAATATCTTCATCCCGAGTCGTCTTTTTGCGGTCCCGGGTCCGGTGAGGGCCCCCATGGTGCGAAAACCACCCCAAATCTGGAACGCTCCCTAGGACGGGGATCGGACGAGGATACATTTTTTTCAAAGCTTTCTGGGACGCTCTCAGAGCGTTCCCGAACGCTCTGAGAAGGCCGCGGCGCCCGATACATCATCCAGAGCCGCCAGATCTCAGAGATTCTCGAATATATCCTCACTCGAATATATCCTCGTCCTGGCCTCGTCTTAGCCAGAGCAATGATGATGATGCTAATTATAATGCTGATGATGCAGATGCTGATGCTGATGATGCTGATGATAATAATGTTGATGATGATGCTGATGCTGATGTTGATGCTGATGATGATTATTATGATGATGAGGATGATGATGACGATTATGATGCCGTAGCCCCATTCGCCAGACAGGCTCCAGGAGCCCCCGAAAGCCCAGGGATCCTCGGCGACCTTGGCCTTGAAGGCCGCCACCCTCGCTTCAGGGGTGTTGGCCGCCTCCCGCGCCTTGCGCTCGGCCCGGATCTCATCGATCGTCTTGGGCCTCGCCTCCTTGGGGCTCCTTCGCGCGCGCGCGCGGGAGGGCTATCTTTCTCATTGTCCTCCTCCTCCTCCTCCTCCTCCTCCTCCTCTTCCTCCTCTTGCTCATCATGCTTCTCCTCCTACTCATGTTCCTATTGGTTTCCCCTCCTCTTCCTCCTCCTCCTCCTGCTTCTCCTCCTCCTCCTCCGCCATCCTCCTTCCCCGTGTGAGCCGCCTCCTTGGGGCTCCTCGCGCGCGCGGGAGGGGCGGGGGTGGAAACCCGAGGAAATCACGGCGGAAATTTTGAATAATTTTCGGTCTAAAGGGGCCCCTCGCCTGGCACCACGATCATCAAAAGTGCCTCAGGATGGAAGACTGGCCCTGGGTTCTCCTCCTCCTCGTCCTCTTCCTCCTCCTCCTCCTCCTCCATTCCTCCTCCTACGCCTGCTCCTCCTCCTTCTTCTCCTCCTGCTGCTGCTCCTCCTCCTCCTCCTCCATTCTTCTCATTGCCAGTAGGGAGGACCGAGTTGGCTACAGTCAGCCATGACTCGAAGAGGCGGTGCTCTTAGCAACCTGCCTGGCGCGCCCGTGTGCGGGAGAAAGCTGCAAGCGCCCAGTGGTGCGAGGGCGGGGGTGGAGATGGCGAGGGGCACGGGGGTGGGGGGGCATTCCCCTCGCAACGGGGACACGTAGGCTCCTCCTCCTAAATGTTTCTGCGATGTATAGTTTGCAGGTGGACAAACTTCTGTCTGAAGCGAAATCCCCCAAAAATCCTCCCCCTCCTCCTCCTCCTCCTCCTCCTCCTCCTCTTCCTCCTCCTCCTCCTTCCTCCTCCTCCTCCTTCCCTCCCTCCTCCTCCTCCGCCTCCGCCTCCCCGTCCTCCTCATCCTCCTCCTCCTGCTGATCCTCCTCCTCCTCCTGCTCCTCCTCCTCCTCCTCCTCCTCCTCCTCCTCCAAGTTGCACCTCGCACCGGTGTCACCGCTCTGCCGCTCCTGCCCCTCCCCTTCGCCTCCCTGGCACACGGCGCAGAGGCACGCACGGCGGCAAGCTCTATTCCTCCTCCTGCTGGGAGGTGCAGTGGAGCATGAGGGGGGAACTCGCCCTCGCTCGTCCTCCCCCTCATCCTCCTCTCCTTCCCTTCTCCTCCTCCTCCAATGCCTCCTCTCGTCGCTCCTCCGTCCGCCCTCTCCCGCTCTCCTTTGCGCCCCGGTCTCCCGTGTCCTCCGAGCATGACGGACAGACAGACGACATGATCCTTGGGACCCAAGCTCAAACACATGCTCCCGAAAGAGTATGCTTGCCTGCGATTTCCTAAGGGCGCTAAGACAATCGGAACGTTGAGTCAAACATGACCGTATTATGATAGCGAGTCTACGACGTCGAACACTTCTCTACAGCAACACTCAACAGCAATGTTGCAAACAGCGCTTGAGCGGTGTATGCGTCTTCTCGTGAAGGAGACTTGCCACGCACTATCATAGAGGAGGCGAAGTAGTGAACAGGTGCAACTCCTTCCCTCCTCTCTAATTCTCTCTCTCTCTCTCTCGGTCTCTCTCTCTCTCTGGAACGGTACCGCCTAACGTCGGGCGCGAGCGACCGTTGGCTAGAGCGTTTCAGATATGTTCCAAAACATAATCTCGAGACGTCCTGACTTGGCAAATCTAATAACGTTCTGGTGATGTCGGCAGGATCTGAGATTCCAAAGATCTCAGCGGAATCCTTGGGGCTTCCTCAGGAATGCTGATGACACTCTAAGGCATCCATAACAAAACCTTAAGCATTCCCCAAGGCACCTCGCGGAAACACATTCGAATCCGGAGCATTTCCTGAAATAAGCCTGCGAATTTTCTCGGCAATCCTCGCCCATTCGACGCAGCTTCCCCGCGCGAGGTCCGAGCAGATGGGGTCGGATGTTCGCGCCGCATCGCCAAGGCATCGCCGATGCTTCGGCGACGTGTTCGACGCATCGGCGGCGCATCGGCGACGCCGGTGCGGAGCACATCGGGCTCCACATCGAGCCGCACCTGCGATACAGCGGCGGTGCGCCGCGATCTGCGTCGGCCCCGCGCGAGGCCCCGCGCCCGATCCGTGCCCAGCCGCACAGCCAGGCCGCACACTCGGCGCAGAGCGAGGCCACCTGCCCGTCGCGGAGCGAGGCTCCCTCACACCAGTCGCGCAGCGAGATAGGAGGAGGAGGAGGAGAACGAAGAGGAGGAGAAGGAGGAGAAGGAGGAGGTGGAGGAGGAGGAGGAGGAGGAGGGGGAGAAGGAGGAGGAGGAGGAGGTGGAGGAGGAGGAGATGGAGGAGAGGGGGAGGGCCCCTCGCGGTAGAGGCGGGGAAGGAAGTTCTCCCTCTGGCCGCAGGCGAGGCAGGGCAGGGGCTGGGGGGTGGGGGGTGGGGTGCGGGCAACGCGAGCGTGCACCTGAGCATCCCAGCCCTGGCAGTCCTGATGCGGGCGCTCCCTCTTGAGGAGGAGGACCAGTGCAAACCCAAAGGTCCTCAACGATGTTGGAATAAACCCTCCCTCCAAACTCCCTCTTCATAGGCCCCTACAACGGTTCATTCCCATTGATGGAAGTACTCGTTGGAAGACAACCGTTTGAAGACTCTGACGCATGCGAAAACACTGTTCTGTGGATTCCAACGCCACGGATCAACCTGACTGTTGCGTTTTGATAATCCTGAATCGTGCCAGAACGCCGTTCTTGGGACTTCAACACCGCGAGTGAACGTAACTGTTGCACCCTCATAATCTTGAATCCTTCCAACACACCAATTCCTGGTACTTCAATCAAAAGAATCCGTGGAACTCTTGTCATTTTAAGCAGGCGGGAACCACGTTTTGAACCAGAACCACCCACAACATGTCAGACTCTTGCACATCTCTAAAACGAATGCGCGCGGCGCTGAAGCGAGAATCACATTTTGAAAACGGTTTCCCCTCAATCCGTGAAACTCGTTCATTTTTTCAAAACGAATGTGCGCGGCACTAAGACGAGAACCACATTTTGAAAGCCACCCGCCCTCAATCCGTGAAACCCTTACAATTCTTTAAAACTTATGTGCGCTGCGCTGAGGCGAGGGCCACAGTGGGAAAACAACCCGCCCTCTATCTGTGAAACTTTTGCTTATTTTGAAATTTCATGGTCATGCATTGTGAGAAAGTCTGAAGCGAAATGCCCTGCCCGCCCTACTGGCCTCGGGATGCGACAGGGACAACTTGTTTCTAAGGGAAAGGAATGGAGGAGGAAGGGGAGGCGGAGGAGGCGGAGGAGGCGGAGGAGGAAAAGGCGGAGGAGGCGGAGGGTGAGGGGGAGGGGGAGGGGGAGGGGGAGGAGGAGGAGGAGGAGGAGGAGGAGGAGGAGGAGGAGGAAGAGGAGGGAGGAAGAGGAGGAGGAGGAGGAGGAAGAAGAGGACCTCTCTCTCTCTCTCTCTCCCCCTCTCTCTATCTGCTGACTTGTGGCACGCCTCGGGCCACGAGCGGCACGCAGTCCCCGACGAGCGGAGCGCCACCGAGGGTGGGTGATAGCTGTACTCCCAGGAAGCCTACGGCCAGCGTGCTGTGCCACACAAAGCACACCGCCAGACAGGGGACGAAGGGGGCGCAGTCGACGTAGCTCTCGTCAAGTCAAAGCGACGGACAGAGCATCACGAAACAATAATGGAAGCCCTCACAGGAGTGTTAGGATGCTCTTGCGACGGCGCAGGCAGCTGTCGTTCGAACCGCTCCTCGACGAATTCGAGGAGTGCTAGCCGTGCGCAGTGAGCCTCCTGGCCACGGCGGGCCTCGGCCACGCATGCGTGGGCCCCGAGGACCCAGATCTACGGCACGGCCCGAACACCAGAGCACCCCCCCCGAGCTCCGAATGGTCCTTCGCTTGTTTCGGCGCCCTGACGGTCAAGAAGGCTACACTACACCCGCCGACGGTTGGAACCGAGCGCCGCGCCGCCCCCCTGCAGACGCTCTGCGGAAGCCCTAGGCTTAGGCCGGGCCTGTCCCCCTACAGGGGGATTTTGGGCGAACAGTTAAGAATACTCCAACAAGACTCCAACAACGATCAGAAATAGTCCAAACACTGTCCCCAGACCCTTTCTTGATAATTCTTGAAAATTCCCCCTGTGGAGAGGGACAGGCCCGACTTAACCCCAGGCTGGGGCCTGCCGCCGGCGCTCGAAACCACCCTCTGCGCTGCCCCTTGGGGGGGCGGCCCCCAGACGCGACGCCGACGAACCCAGACCCCCGACGCCGTGACTCCTCCACAGCGTGTACGACGAAGCCAGGACGAGGACAACTTTGGATGAAGACGAACCGAGATTCCCGATTCATCTTCATCCCAAATTGTCCGCGTCCTGGATGAAGATGAATCGAGATTCTCGATTCATCTTCATATGAGATCCGTCAGGGCCGCCGGATGTCTCTGGCGCCGCGGCCTTCTCAGAGCGTTCCCGCACGCTCTGAGGGTATTCCCAAAGGCGCTCTGGGACAGATGTATCCTCGTCCCAGCCCCGCCCGAGCGTGGGCTCCCAAAGGTTCGGGTCGGGCGAAAGGGGGGGATAGCAAAGGGGGGGTTTGAGCATCAGCTCACGTAGCTGATTTTCCTGGCGCCTCCCGGCGCCGGAGGCGGCGATGTATCGAGGAATGGGCCCCTCGGCGGGGCCGAAACCAGCTCCATGCAGCACATTTCGTAACCCCACCTTTCCCAATCCCCCCCTTTCGTCCGGCCCGAAAGGTCTCGGCCCCTTCCCCGGCTGGGTCGCTCTGTGAAGGTGCCGGGGCCTGGCGAGGGCCCCATGGGGCCGACAGGGGCCCCAAAGCCTCCGTCGTGAGCTCTTCCCCACGCGAGGAGGCCTGGGCAGTGCTCCCAGATGGGGTCCGAGCAGATGGGGTCGGAGGATCGCGACGCATCGCCGATGCATCGCCGATGCATCGGCGACATCGGCGTTTCGTCGGCGACGCCAACATGGAGAAACTCGGGCTGCACATCGAGCCGCACCGCCGATGCATCGGCGATGCGACGCGATCCTCCGACCCATCTAATGCGGGATGACGATTAATAACCAAATGGGGGGGAACGATTTAAACAATAGTTTCCTGCTATTTCTGCACAAGTTGCTGACTGGAAGAGAACGATTTTAAAAAGTAGTTTTCCAACCCGCGGCCGGTTTTTTCTAATCGTCATCCCGGGCGCCGCCGCGTGAACACGACCCCCGGTCATTTATTAATCGTCATCCTCCATTACTCGGACCCTGACCCGGGAGGCCTCGAGCCTTGGAGCCCTGGAACCACACTCACGAGGCTGGGGCCTTCGGTGTGGCTGCCCCCCGGACCTGCTCGTGGCCCTCGGGGCCGCCACTGTCTCGCCACTCCTCGGGGCCCTCGGGCGGCTTCGAGGCTCGGGGGCGCTCGAGGGGGGGAGCTCTTCGCCGCTGCACCGGGGTGCGATCCAGCAGCTGCGGCGGCGAGGGCCGAAACGATCACGCACGGCAGGTCCATACCCCCGACTTCGCGCGATTGTTGTCAAAACGTCGACCCCCAGAGGCCTCGACCCCTTCCCTGGGACCGGTTTTTAATCCTGCGTCGCTTTTTGACGGTCCCGAGGCCCGGTCTGGGCCCCCGGAGGCAGAAGATGGTTAGCGAAACACCTCCCGCCGAAAGCTTTTCTCAGCGCGAGGTCTGGGAAGGGCGCTCCTGGGGAGCGCCCAGGCGGCTTTTCTGGAGGGCTCGGGCGCGCGGTCGGGAAGCGAAGGAGGATGAAGATGAGGATGAGGACGAGGATGAAGATGAGTATGAAGATGAGGAGGAGGCCGAGGAGGAAGAGGAGGATCCATGTCGAGGAGGAGGAAGAGGAGGAGGAAGAGGAGGAGGATGAGGAGGAGGAGGAGGCAGAGGAGGAGGAGGAGGAGGAGGAGGAAGAGGAGGAGGAGGAGGAGGACCCGCTCCTTCGCCTGTCCCTGGAGCGGCTTCGCTTGCGCGAGGGGCTGCGCCGTCGGGGCGGGCTGCGCCTCCGCGAGGGGCTGCGCTTCTTTCGCGAGGGGCTGCGCCTCCTGGAAAGGGGCGGGGGGGGGGCCATCGGGGGGGGGGGCAGAAGTCAGGGGAGGCCACCGCTGGGAGGTCTTGATCCGCCCCTCCTCCTCCTCCTCCGCCTCCTCCTCCTCCTCCTTTTGCTCAGATCCTCAGCCTCATCCTTCTCTTGTTCCTCCTCTCCTACTTCATGCTTTTACCTGCTCGATCCGTCTTCCTACCTCGTGCTTTTGCCTACTCCCTCCCGCAGACGTGCGTCCCAGGCTCCGTCCCAGTCCCGATCCCCGCCATCCTCCAGAGGCCACTGCCGGGAGGTCTTCGTCGGAAGGACTGTTAAGGAAGATGAAGCCCCATCGGGGGGCTGCTACGCCAGACGAGGCCGCGGACGAAGCGGGATTCAGCCAAGTTGCGCGGGAGTAAACCGGATGAAGCGGGCTTGAGCCGGAGGAAGCCAGATTTCGGGCCGGGGCAGAGTCAGAGTTTGACCTCCCGGGAGTTGAATCCGAACATCGGGACAGGGGGGGAAGGCGACGGGGTGGAGCACCGAGGTGGTGAGGAAACAAAAAGGCGCAATTAGAGGCGGAGGCGGGAGGGGTGAGGCGGCGGGAGAAAGGGAGAGAAGGTGGGGGCGGAGGCGGGAGGAGGCAGGCGCGGGAGGGGAGCAGCTGTGCTCTGGGATTGGGCATCTCCCGCCTCGAGGCCGCCGCTCGCCTCTCTCCCACTTCGTGCCCGCGTGCCGAAGGCGCCGCGCCAGAGTGCGGCCACTGCCCGAAGCACATGCTCCTCTGCTCATCAAGCCTTTCGCGCACCGACCACCGCAGTGCGTGCAGCAACTGCCCAATAGACGGATGCAGACGAGGAGGAGCGAGAGGAAGAATCAAGAGAAACGACAGGAGGAGAATAAAGGAAGTAAAAAGGAGGAAGGAGTAGGTAACGGAGGGGAGGCGGGACGACTATCGCGCGCGTGAGGGTGTGAGGTGACAAAAGGTTGGCCGACCCGACCTGGCGCGGCAGTCACCTCCAGTGGACCTCCACATCCATGTAATACAGCCAACGCGTACGACAGTACCATCTTGCTGTAATAATTCTTTGGGCGCACTCTTTGTCGATCTTACCGCGCCCCAGAGCTTCTGTGCGTCCCTGGTGCCATCGGGGGATCAGACATTTCTGTGTGTGTGAGTGTGTGTGTGTGTGTGTGTGTGTGTGTGTGTGTGTGTGTGTGTGTGTGTGTGTGTGTGTGTGTGTGTGTGTGTGTGTGTGTGTGTGTGTGTGTGTGTGTGTGTGTGTGTGTGTGGTGTGTGGTGTGTGTGGTGTGTGTGTGTGTGTGTGTGTGTGTGTGTGTGTGTGTGTGTGTGTGTGTGTGTGTGTGTGTGTGTGTGTGTGTGTGTGTGTGTGTGTGTGTGTGTGTGTGTGTGTGTGTGTGTGTGTGTGTGTGTGTGTGTGTGTGTGTGTGTGTGTGTGTGTGTGTGTGGGGGGCACCTGCTGGCGAACAGATACCGCATATTATGTGTCTACTGTATCATGCCTCCACTGTCTTGGCGGCCTCCGTTCGAAGCCAGGCGGCAAGAGAAAGGGCACCCCGGGTGCGGCTGTTTGCAGCCAGCCGTGTCCTCCTCGACGGGCTCCGCCTTCTGTCCCGCCGGGACCGCGAACGAGGCATTCCTCGGGGACGGTCTGAACTTTCGGCGCGCGCGCGTGCGACAGCGGGGAACTGCGAGGCCCCTTACTCCAAGAGGTCTCAAACGGCCAAAAAAGCCGCCGACCCCTTGTGGGTCTCTAGGCGTGCGAGAGGCCTCTCCCCGTAATCCCCTCCCCCGAGGGCCCCCCCCCGCCAGGCCCCGGTCGACCCCCGGGTGAACCCATCAGGGGGGGCCCGGACGGACCCAAGGTGGACTCATCAGGCGGGGTCTGGCCCTCCCTGGGCTCCTCTTGCCCCTAGGGGCTCCAATTCGACAAAGAAAACCCCAAGAGATTTGTCCAAGGATTTCAGTGGTCCCGAACCCAACGGCATAACATCAACATCGCAAGCGATTCATCCCTTCAAAAAGCATTTTCTGGCTCGCGGGGGAGGTAAGGGCCCCAGTTGTCCGTCCCCAGCTTGAGCAACTTAAAGAGAGCGATGGCACTTCGAGATGCTGCTGCTGCTTGTGGAGGAACAACACATGACATAAACAGACACTGGCGGAGGAGCGCTGATTTCTAGGATCGGCGCAGGAGCCCCCCGGCGGCACATCCGGCGATGCGCGATTATCTTCGCGCCATCTTGCCCTCGTGCCGCCCGCTTAGGAGCTGGCAACCGATGTAGCGTAGACCGCGACGCACGAAACACGATCATCTTCGCGCCCCCGCGGGTGAGCAAGACGTTCTCTAGGAACGCGTTTCCCGCACTCGGAACTGGGTATGGGGCAGCGACATCATAGGAACAATTCGCAGCTACATTCAAGATGACCCAATATAGCCCCAACTACTGCCCAACAAGCACAAACTTGCTCAGGAGTCGCCAACTAGGTTCCTAAGACTGCGAAATCTGCCGCATGATGAATCCAAAATCTTCGAGGCCCACGAACAGATTTCCACGGTCAGTATCCCAAGAGGGGGATCCATGGGAAGGGTTACAACAATGAGGCCGAGGTGAGGGAAACCAGGAAGGGATGCACCAACGCCAAAAAATTCAGGTCAGCGCGATGGTTGTCAGATGGTTGCCCCAATGATTGTCCCGATGGGTGTCCCGATGGTGGTTCCGACGGTTGTCCCGATGGTTGTCCCGATGGCTGTCTCGTTGTCCCGATGCATGTCCAGATGGTGGTCCCGATGGTTGTCCTGATGGTTGGATGATTGTTTGATCGATTGATTGATTGGCACTGGGATCGGAATAGATCGTGAAGCCGATAGAAAAACAGACTTATGTGTGAATTGCTGCATGCACATATGTACATACATCTACGTGCATATATATACATATATATATATATATATGTGTGAGGCGACTTATGATGTGAACGATGTAGATTCAATTAACCTGGCGAAGGACCCAACCATATGAGTTGTCACTAACACATGTATGAACATCATCTTCGGAGGAGTTCCTTATGTGGCCATGGAACATGTGTGGGGGGGTGCCGAAATCGGTGCCAGGCACGCATGTGAACGGTGCCACTGGGACCTTCGGTGGAGCCCCCCATGGGACCACTGTGAAGAAGAACAAGGGGAACTTTGAGAGAAGGGCGAAAACGACAACAAAGGGTTATTGGGGTATTTACGTATGTACTTCTGCCTCAATCCGCCCGCAAACCGAAACTGAAAGACCAAGGCGCACGGCTTGGAGCGCCAATCAGTCGTGCACGTATACGGAGTTATACACACATATATGTATATCTCTATATATGTATACATCGACACGTACATGTACATCGACCGATAAGAGGCTGTTTGATGGATGGAGACGGTTGTCCCGATGATGATTGTCCCGTCGGTGGTTCCTTCCGCCCCCACCTCCTCGTCGGCCTTTGGCTGGCCTGATGGATGTAAACATTGTTTCTTCTTCTTCTGCTGTCCCCCTCCTCGCCCTCCTCGTCCTCCTCCCCCTCTCGCCCTCCTCGTGCCCCTCCTCCTCCTGCCCCCCCCCTCCCTCTCTTCCGCGTCCTCGCTGCACAGCCCGATGCCGACTACGCTCCGGTCTGTGAGCTCGTGCATTCGGCGTCTCAGCGGCCGCCGTGCTCTGATGCACCCCCTGCTGTCCAGCACCGCTGCCGCTGTTGAGGATGAGCAAAATCCCTAGGCTTTTTCGCCTGCTAAGGCTCAGAAGCCTATCCAACATCCGGGAGAGGCCTTATCACCTTCGCAGCCTTGCCCCGTGAGATATGCAGTTGTTTGGAAGGGCGAGCACAATGGCCCAGACTTGTTGTTGAGACCTTCTTCTTCCCTCGGAACTCAACTTCACGAGAGGCAGAGCTCCAGCAACAGCGGTCGTGCCCCACTGGGCTGGTGCACGCGTTGGCACTGGTGCGGCGGCGGCAGGTCCCTCTTGAGGACCAGAGGTGTTGGCACTCCTGGCGCGCTCTCCCAACAAGCCCTGTGCAGCGCCTGTGCCTTTCCGCACGCGACTATACAGGGTCCTCACGATCCTCAGGGTAGCACACATACAACCATTACGATTCAAACAACAACGCCAGCAGCAACCGCAACACCATCAACAACACCCTCACCACCAACACCACACCAACAACAGCTCTCTCTACTACCATGACTACTTACACCACTGCTACTACTAGCACTCGCACAACAGCTGCGAGTGGTACGACTATTACTAATACTATTACTACTACTGCTGCTGCGACTACTACAACTACCTCTACAACTACCACTAAGGACTACTTCTACGATTAAAACAATTCCACTACTACTGCTACTACTACTACTACTGCTACTACTACTACTAGTACGCATACTACTAAAACTACTAACAACAACTACTTCTCGCACTACTACTACTGCTACTACTACTACTACTACTACTACTACTACTACTAACCACTACTGCTACTTGTTCGACGACTACGACTACGACCACGACTATGACTACGACTACTTTTACTACTTCTACTACTTCTACTACTTCTACGAACACGACTGCTAATGCTACTTCTTCTACGACTACTACTGCTACTACTACTACTACTACTACTACTGCTACTACTACTACTACGACTGTACAACTACTCTCTACTACTACTACTACTACTACGACGACGACGACGGCGACGACTACGACTACTATTACTACTACGAAGACGACTTTGATAACAACTACTTCTAGCACAACTACTACTACTGCTGCTACTATTACTACTCCTACCACTGCTACCATGACGACTGCTACTACTACTACTACTACTACTACTACTACTACTACGACTACTACCACTACTACTACTGCTGCTACTGCTACTACGACTACGACTACGACTACTACTGCTACTGCTACTACTACTACTACTACTACTACTTCTACTACTACTACTACTACTACTACTACTACTACTACTACTACTACTACTACTACCACTGCTACTACTGGAGCTACTACTACTACTACTACTACTACTACTACTACTACTACTACTACTACTACTACTACTACTACTACTACTACTACTACTACTACTACTACTACTACGATTACTACTGCTAGTACTACTGCTACTACTACTACTACTACTACTACTTGAACTTCTACTTCTACGGCTACTTCGACTACTACTACTACGACTACGACTACTACTACTGCTACTACGGCTGCTACTACAATTACTACCACTACTTCTGCTACTTATATGACTGAAGCAACAACAACTACTGCTTCTACTGCTGCTGCTGCTGCTGCTACTACTACTACTACTAGTACTACTACTGCTACTACTACTACTACGCCTACCCGCCCGACTACTAATAATGCGACGTCTGTAGCATTACCCATGCCATTGCTGCCACTACATCCTGCTAGTGCGACTGACCATCTTCACACCCACAAGTACTAATACCACTATTGCTGCTAACCGCCCCATCAGCCCTTTAGAGCGTTTGTGGTTTAAGAAGCTCCAGCTTCAAGTTTCCTTCTTCCCATCGGGGAGCGGTTTACAGTTTTACTTACACCTCCCCCTCACCCCTCCCTGTGGGTCTTGACGGGGGGTGGACGCGAGATGTCACAGGATTTGTTTGGCCTCGACGGGAAAGCCACACTCACGTTTGCTAAACTGAGGTTTTGGCCACAGTTTGGCCTCCTGGGGGCGCGGTGCGTAAATCCCACCAGCCCTCTGGGCGTCGGTGGTTTCGGGCGTTTCCTTTTCCACCCCTCCTTTTTCCCCTTCGGGGAGGGGTTTACCCCTCCCCCTACCCGCTCCCTTGGACCTGGACGTGGGGTTCCGCGAGTAGCCGGAGCGTCCAAAACGGCCTCGGCGAGGAAGCCCCCATCGTTGGTTTTACGAGGGTTTTGGCCCCATTTGGGCCTCCTGAGGGGGGGACTGTAATTCGTATCCCCCCCCTCCTGTGATCGATCTCACCCAAGATGGCCCAAAGATGGCCCCCAAGGCTCCCAAGGGTGCCCCAAGAGGGCACCAAGAGGTGGCCAGGAAGCCCTCAAAGGCTCCCAGGATGCCCCCAAGAGGCTCCCAAGAGACCCCCAAGAGGCCCCAAGAGACCCCCCAGAGGCACCCAAGATGCTTCAAGAGGCATCGGCGAGAATGCCAAATCATTGATTTTTGCACAAAGGTTTTAGTTTCATGCAGGCCTCTTGGGGGGGCACTGATTAAGATGACTCCAAGAGCGCCTGGGAGAGCCCAAGATGACCTCCAAAATTGCTCCAGATACCCCAAGTTGTCTCATAATGGCTTCCTCCGTGTGCTGCCCACTTCCCTGATCGAGGAAATTCCTCTGGGCATCGTTTCTGGAAGGGGCTTGTGGGGATTCTTGTTCGTCGCGGCCGCAGGCGAGCGCGCCAGCAGCGTCAGAGGTCGGGCGGGCTACGCGCAAAACTGGTGGGGATTCGCGAAGCGTCAACAATTCACGAGGCCCCCTTCTTTGATCGATCTCCTCTAAGGTGGCCCCATGATGCCCCCCCCGAGGCTCCCAAGGATACCCCAAGACGACACCAACAGGCACCCAGA